GGACGCCGACTCCTCCACCAACTCGTCCACCGAGGGCTCCTCCACCAACCCGAAAGACCCGATCCCTGTCCTCAGCCACCTCTTCTGGGTCTACTGGGCCACCGTCATCCCGCTCACGGCCATCATCCTCTTCGCCTGGCGCGCGTGGTGGGTCAGCCAGGACCGCTACTTCCGCCGGCACCTGTCGCGCGAGCTGAGCGAGGAGCGCTACTGGACTGCCGACGGCAAGCCGCGCGAGCTGGAGCACTCCTTCTGGTGGGACTTCTTCTACCTGTCCGTGAGGAGGGACGAGAGGCCTGCACCGACGGCGGATCCGTACGGTAGTCTGGACCTGTCGCCGAGTCTGAGCCAGGATAAGGATGAGCTGCGGTCGCCAAGGGAGACGACGGCGAGGAGGGGCCAGATATCGTTTATGAGGACGCAGAGTTTGCGACAGAGAAACCACGTTGCTGTATGATGGGCTATGTGTTTGCGTATATAATGTTCTGGTGGGGGGAGGCATATTGAGCGTTTGTTTGGAGTTGAGGCTGCATTTTGATAGATGTGATACGATATTTACGCTTGTATGCACGATGTAGAGTTTCTACGAATCTGAAGATATGCCATAATCATGTTCACAAATATTGCGCGGATCATCCTTTCGGGTGACGAGGCATTGGGCGTTGCGTGGGGGTCGTTGATGATCGATTACTGACCCCCACCTCTGTGGGGTACATAGGACACAAATTTGGGCACATTTTTCATCAAGCACGGTAGCTCAGGGGTAGAGCGCTGGGCTCATAACCCAGAGGTCCCTGGATCGAAACCAGGTCGTGCTATGTTTTTTGCAGTTTTTGCCAGTTTGCTGCACTTGTTGCTCGAGACCTTTCAACTTAGATCGTCTATGTTTTTTTGTTGCTATTTGCCCATTCCTTCCAGACATCTACTTTTCATTGCTCAGACTTTTGATAGTAATATTCTCTATAGCATGAATATTTGTTACACGGCAGGAAGAGAGGTCGAACATAAAGAGTCCGCCTATTTTTCTTGTGCTATACCGGCCACTTTTCCTGTGCCCATATTCCGCCTGACCGTTGTTACTTCTTTCATCGCCGCTTCTCGTCGTCGTCGTCGTCGCTGTCGTCGCTGTCGTCGCTGTCGTCGCTGTCGTCGCTGTCGTCGCTATGATCATCTCCGACAGGAGTAGGTAAGTACACAGGAAAGTTAGACGGTCTCAATATGAAATTCGCTTTGCCAGCACACAATCGACCTGACATCAGAAGCAAGAATCAGTAATCACATGAGTTCGACTCAATTATGACTTATTTTTCGTCGTATTCTTCCTAGCACAATGGTTCTGCACCCAACTCAAAGGTAGACTTTCCCATTGTCTACGTCTCAGACCGAGGGCCGAGTCTTGTTCAGACCTCAAGACCGTGTACTTGTTTGGGACCTTTGTCTTTGACTTCGGCTTTGAAGACCTTTCATTGGCATCGTTCACTCTTTCTGGGGGAACAATGGACTTGTATAAGATCACAAGAAAGCGCACAAGACCAAGGCTCAGAACAGAAGAACCAGAATACCAATACATTCCATCACACTTTCTAGATATTAAAGTGCACTTGAACGCCAAACGAAATCAAAATGTCAGACTACAGCCCCGATCAACACGATACCAGCACATCCACCCTCGCACTTTCAGACCACACATCTTCCTCCATATACTCAGACTCAGACATAGACACAGCCAACATGCCTGGCCCCGCGAATAACCCGAACCAAGGCTCACGCTTCACAAACCCTTCAGCTTTCCCCCTTGAGATCCCCGGGATGAGCCCCTTGACCTCGCCCGTTCTCGCCGAAATCTCTCCTATCAACGCCGAAGACGAGATTTATGAGCACGATCTCAATGGGATGGACAAGGATGCCCGGGATATGATCATGGTAGACGCAGGTCGTAAATATGCCATTCCCGAATCATCAGACCCTACGGAGCCTCCCGTACTAGCTACGGTATGGGACACCATCAGCAGAGACCAACAGCCCGGGCCTGACCGCGAGGTCCTGTTCAGCGCCGAGCTGGAGTTCTGGGTCCAGGTGTCAGGCGAAGAAGGCAAGGCACTCACCTGCCCACCCAGGAATTTTGTCAAACGCGCTGATATCCCCCCCGATGAATGTTTGGAAAGGTTCCACCTCCAGCATCGTATTTGCAGGTACATTCGAGACGAAGCGAACTTCTTCTCCGTATCAGAGTCCGCAGACCAAAAAACGACGGCACTCTGGGAAGAATACAAACAAGAGGTCCGCAATGGTTCACATGCCTACAACGCGAGCGGCCACTGGGACGTCATGGTGGAACCTAAGAAACAGCTGCCCGAAGAGAATGACAAAGAGTGGGAAAGATACAACAAAGACTGGATGCTCGTGCGCGTCTCGTCTCCTCTCATGCGGTTCTCCGAGGAAAACATCAAGTTTTTTGATGCCATCACGATCGCACTGAAGGATATGCCTGGCCTCACCATCGGGCTGGATCATAAGCCTCGTCTGCGCGTAAGCCTCAAACCGCTGACTGGCTTCACCCTGCCAGACCTCAAGAAGCTCCTCACTTTTCTGTGGTCTGTCTCCCCTCTAATCGACACCCTCCACGCAAAGTCCTGTGGTCCTGGCTCACTCATCGCCCCAGGCCTCGAGTTTTCAGAAGTCTTCAACTGCCTCCCTCATACTTGCCTGTCCGACGCCGAGTGGCGCGCTCCCAGGGAACAGACAATCTTCACTCATGGACCTCCCATCAAGACAACCACCAAGATGCTCCAGACCCCTGACGTGATGCGCAACTCTTCCTTCTCCAAGTACGCCCTCCTCGAAATCGCAACCGCGGAAGACATCCAAAGCCTTATCAGCATGACCGATATCCCCATACAGCACGAAGACGGCCAGGTCTACAATCACCCTGGCGCGTACGACTTTTCCGGCCTCCTCGAATCCAAACGCGGAGACCAGAGAGTCCAGTTCGCCCAGCACGCCGGCACGATGCACTTCGACGCAATCTCTAACTGGATCAAGGTATGTCACGGCCTCGTTTCCTTCGCTATCAACGCCCCTCGCGACCGCATCGAACACATCCTCTCTCTGAACTCGCCCGTCCAAGGCACACTCAACACGTATGATGTACTTGAACTACTCACAGATATCGACCTGTCCGCGCAAGCCGAATACTACCGCAACTTCAACCCGCGCCGCTTCCCCCCAGACCTTGCCGCCCGCCAACCCTGTCCCACCATCGACCTCGAAGAGCACTCCTGGCTCTCCCCTTACACCTTCGGCGTCGAGCTCGAGTTCCTCCTGCCCTACGCCCTCGAAGTCCCCGACCGCCACGACAGCCGCTGGACCTACGTCCTCCCATCCGACACCGAACCAGCCTTCATCTCCTCCACAATCTACGAGCACACCGCCGAACACCTCGCCTCCCTCCTCAACAGCAAAGGCCACTTCAGCGCAACCTACAACACCGTAAAACAGTGCAGGCTTGACCCGCCCCACGCCCACTACGCCGCCCACCTCGCCACCGTCTCCGCCGTCCGCGGCCACACCGTCGACATCATCCCCGGCGCCTCCCACATGTATCAGCTCTGGCACGTCTCCCAGGACTCCAGCCTGACGAAGCACCTAGGCCCCATCCTGGGCTACTCCGGCGGCGTCTCCGGCTTCGAGATCTCCTCGCCCATCTTCCGCGACCGCGCGTCCGACTGCCGCCAGATCCTCGAGGTGCTCGCCATCCTCCGCGCCGAGACGCGGCCGATGCTGGACGGTACCTGCGGCACGCACGTCCACGTCGGCTCCGTCCGTCCCTTCACCCTCACCGCGCTCAAGAAACTCGCCTGCCTCGCCTGGGTTGTTGATCCTATCCTCAGCACGCTGGTCCACCCCGTCCGCGGCGCGGTGCACCACGCCGCGCCTCTACGTACGGGGTCAAACCTGGCTGAGAACACGAGCATGCGCAGCTACGAGGACTTGGTGATCGGTGGGGACGATAAGATGTTGGTGGTTGAGATTGATTCCCATCTCCCCATGCGCGGCCTCCCCCGCCGTCTGCAGGACGAGTTTACGTGTATTTGGGGCGCGAATGACCATAATAGGCTAACCGGTCTGCTCGCTGCAGCGAACGGTACGATGCCCCCGCGCGGTAGCATCTCATTTGACAAGATCAACTGCATGAGTGGCAGTGCTTTCCCGTATGGCCCATGGGAGCCGGTTCTCGTAGGCACCGTCGAGTTTAGAGCGCTCGAGGGGACTCTTGACCCGGTGCTGGTCGCTCACTGGGCCCGGTTAGCTGTCGCTATTGTACAAACGGCGGTGGAGGCAGAGCCTGCTGAGTTCTTCAAGATCATGACCAGACTGCTGAAGGAGCGCAGAAACAGCAGAGAGCGACTGAAGTGCTTTCTCGAGGTTGTTGGCATGGGTCATACGTACTCCTACTGGAAGGAGGTGGCTGAGAAGAACAAGCCCCTGGCGGCACTGGTCGAGCAGTGGAATCCGAAGAATCGCTGGGTTGGTGATGAGCCGAATTTGGCGTGGATCGAGCGGAACGTGGTTGCTCTTTCCAAACTCCCCAGAGATGCAGCTGAAGAGCTGGAGAAGGCTTTCAAACGTTGATTGCAGGAACAAAGGAGGGTAAGTTACACATGTAAATACTGAGCTACAACATTATGCAGTAGCACCACCCCACAATCTTATAACTGCAAGGTCTTTTAGACAAAGGCTCCCCAAGCAGCAATGTTTTAGATAAGGTTGGTATCACAGCGCGGACAAGGAGGCAGCAAGTGCGATGAAATGTGCAATTGGAAGAAGGTATCTAGACTGTGTAGTCGCAAAATGTTCCACCTCGGGGCAGTACCAATCACCATTTCAGGTTTCCCACCCCAGATAGCAAATGATGAATGACCAGATCCGATGCAGGCTGTCTCCCAAACTCTGAACCATGTGTGAATTGAGAAACGAATCCAGATTTCAGCTGAAGCAGCTTAGAAGCTCCACTTGACATCTCCAATCTTGCCAGCGCCAAGGTCGGCAAAGGCCCTGAACACGGCAGGGCTGACGTCAATGTGGTCGACACCACAACCCATACACTTGTCGACGATGGTAGCAGTCTTAGTGATACCGCCGCGGGAGATGGTGATGGTCTTGCCACAGTTGGGGTTGTTGTTGGGGTTGCCTCCAGCATCACCCATGGTGATGTGGGAGATTGCGACGACCATGTCGTTGTCTCCGTTGGTTCTACCACAGGAGCCCAGCGAAGGGTTGAACCAGGTCATGACACCGGAACCGCCACCTCGGCGGTCAAGGGAGTTGTTCTCAGCACTGCAAACACACAGGTCAGAACAAGCCAGTAAAGAAGACAAAGCAAAGAACACGTACGGCTGAATGTCAGCGTGAACGCGGCAGACAGTGTAAAGAAACCACTGTGATTCCGAGTTGCCGTTGATAGTAGAGGTGGCGCATCCGATGCGAGTAGCCTTACCCGAGAGAAGCTGCTCTGTGGAGGAAAGGAATTAGCAAAGTGAGGAGCCACTGGTGTTGAAGGAACATACCAGCAAGACCAAGCTGCTTGATAACATCAGCAGCCTGCTGCTGGCCGTCGGCGTTGAGCCAGTTCTTGGAGGACTCAGTGATGGGACGAGTCATCTGAACAGAGTTGCGGTCCTCAGTGCGGAACATGCTGAGAAGCTCACCAGCGCCGTTGCGGTCAGAGGCAGGCGCGTGCTCAAGCTTGTTGTCAGCGGCAAGGTTGCCGGACCAGACGTGGGCATCCTGCTTGAGGGCATCATCCCAGGCAAGAGGGGCTTGGCCGACCTTCTGGCGGGCTTGGTTGATCAGAGCGAGGCCCTGGAGCTCATCGGTGCTCAGAGGGGCAGCCTGTACCATGCCGAGTGTGGCAAGTCCAATGGCGCTAGCAGTGATGATAGACTTGGGGAACATCCTGGTGATATTATTGAGTGGGTTTGGGGAAAGAGTGGATTGTTCAAAGAAAGATGGAAGCTTGAAGTGAAAGTGATGATTGAAAGATCGAAGGATTTGTAGAAGACTCTGGTGGTGATTACGACGGAGAAGTTGTGAGGTTGTTGGGAGAGAGAAGAAGATTATATAGCCTGGGGAGGGAGGGTTGAGATGGTGGTATAGATAGACGCAGGAAGGAGTTCGGATCATTCTTCCTGCCATGAGCAGCAAACACTACTTGAATTGAGGCCCTTTGAGCTGGAGCGGACTTATAGACAGGAAGAACAGGAGCAGGAACATCCCCAGAGAATCCACATCTCCACCCCCAAGAAGCTTAGTGTCAAGACTTCAGTCACAGCTTCTGCAGAGATCTCACGCTAACTTCACTTATTGGGGACGTGCCTTCCCTCTCACTGGTTGCTCCTGCTTCAAAGGAAGTTGCCATGTCTGAAGAACTGCTGTTTGTCTGCCAGGGAGAGGAAGCTACCCCGCTCCTGAGGACTGAGCTTCCTAGAGCTGAACCGATTCGAAGGAGGTCGAATCCATACCTCCATGGGATCATGTGTCTTTCTGAAGGAAGTCGGTTGCTTTCAGCCTTTTTGGAGAATGAGGGGGGATGGGGGGTGGGGGCTGCTTGCTGCTTCTGAGCAGCCTGAACAAACACACTTTTACATGAACGTGATAAGCTGTGACAAAGGAACTTAAGGTAGTACAGGTAGCTCAGTCTGTGAAGCAGATATGTTTTGAGGTTTCATTTAGAGACCGCCTATTTTTCTTATGCTGGAGCGACTACTTTTCCTGTGGCTTTACTCTAATCACTTTACCGTCGTCGTCGTCGTCGTCGTCGTCGTCGTCGTCGTCGTCGTCGTCGTTGTTGTTGTTGTTGTTGTTGTTGGCTTTTATTGTCGTCCTCGCTTCTATCCTTATCGTCACTTCTATTATCGTCGCTACTTCTATCGTCGTCGTTATAATCGTCCTTATCGTCACTATCGCTTTATAGGAGTAATTAAATACACAGGAAATATACATGTAGCCGCGCAAGCACAGGAAAATTAGGCGGTCTCTTCATTTGGTCCCACAGCCCATAACACTAGAGCATTTGTTTAGGTGTAGATACTCTCCTCATCCAGTGCAAGACATTCTCGGGGTACTCTAACCGCCACACCACAAGCATATGACTGGCTCTTTCCAGCCCTTGAAGAAAACTTTCCAGCTGACGCTAAAAGCAGTTCACTGAAGGTCCAAAGTCGATTGTTAAGCTTTTGGCACTGTTTGATGTGCTTGCCCCTTACATCCACGGCAGTTCTCGCCCCCTGACGACACCACAGTGCTGCGCGATTAAACACACGGTCAAGATCCTGCCGACTTGTTCCTTAGGATGAGAATTGAAAGTCTCCATGTGGGAGGGGGAGAATTCAAGGAGGCATTGACAACAGCAACTCGCATTTTGAGTGTGTAGGTGAGATGGTGGTAATACGTCTCTGAAATCAACTCAAACTTACGTCGGAGTTGACCACAACGGCTCACGGCCTCCTTTTCTCACATGAGCGCTGTCCAAGAGAATCGATGATGGAAGTGAAGCGAAGCCACTTGAATTATGGTTTATCGGTAGATTCTTTCCTAGTTTCCGAGGTGAGCGTGGTAGTTACTTCGGTGTAGCGTTCGGTGGATGCTGGCCAGCCAAAGTGGCCCGGTGAGATCGGTGAGTAAGCTTTGCGCTAAGCCACTTTGGGAGCTCAACGGTGGTCGGGAAGTGCCGACTTGATTTTTCTGACGCGCCTTGCTGCTCCCCAAGTGCATTTCCAACGCGGTCCACATCCCACAGTCGGCGCTCACCTCCACGACTAGCACCCGCGGCGTGCAAGCATCGTCACCACATCCAATCGAGCATTGTCGCCAACGAGACAGCGAACCACGATCGAAATCGCGTATGCGCATTGACTCTCGTTCAGCATCGTCCCGCCGCCCTTGACGTGTCCCTTCAACACCTCCGCCCTGCGACAGCTTGCGATGACCCATTGGGTTTACTAGCATCACAACATGGACGTCCGATCAAAGCCCCAGGCGTTCCTGTCTACGTATGCGCCACGTATTCGCAGCTACAATAACTCTCTCTTGACACCTGTCCTGCAAGCCGCGGGACCCTCTGCACCCCTCTCGCGAACGACAAAGCGCGGAACCACCATCATCAACTACGCCGAAGATGGATACGACGACATCGACGATGACGATGATGATAGCCGTCGCCGCCCGACTGGCTTGCGCAGTTTGAGAAGAGAGGACACTGCCAACAGGCTAGACCTGTCTGATAAGGCTGGCAAGGATACAAACGAGCCCGTCGACGTACAAGGCATCTGGAGAGACTGGTTTGGCAAGGGACGCCAGGTGCGAAGCGACCAACAAAACTCAGCGCAGGCCGACTTGCCCCTTACGCTGATTCCAATTCGCATCGAGCTGGACATTCCGGCTTTCGTCCCCCAAGTGCCGTTTCCCTCAGCGCCTCACACCGTCGACACCAGCCTGCCTCAATACCGTACGCAGGAAATGACGCCGCCCTACCGATTACGCGATAACTTCCTCTGGAACCTGCACGAGACTGTCATCACGACCGAACAGTTCGCGCAGACCTATGTGCAGGATCTGGACTTGCCAAACCGCCACAACACGATGCTCGAAATCGCCAAGCAGATTCGCACCCAGCTCGAGGAGTACGCTGGCGTCGCTTTGCACCCGCTGTTCCATGCGCAGTCGCAAAACCCCGGAAACAACGATGCGACAAAAGCAAGCTCTGTAGCCAACCACGAAGAGTCCCCCACTCCTGCTACTGGCGCCGTCAGCCGCTCCGATACCCCTATGCAGAATGGCGGCTTGGGCACACCAGCCAGGGCCAAAGAAACCACCTCAGCCCCAGATGTCACCGCACACGCCACTCCCATTCCCGTTGGCTCCGATGAGTACGACCACGACGACGCCTACCGATGCATCGTAACCCTGAACATCAATCTTCAGTCGACCCTCTACACCGACAAGTTTGAATGGTCTTTGCTGCATCCTCCTGGTATGCCAGAAGCATTCGCTGCCCAGACTTGCGAAGACCTCGGCTTGACTGGTGAGTGGGTTCCCGCCGTCACACATGCCATCTACGAAGCAGTTCTCCGGCTCAAGAAGGAGGCCTGTGAAGCCGGCGGTCTCGTCATGGGATGGAATGGTCTCCGCGAATTTCCCAACGATGCTACGGCTGGAGCGGATGCTGGATGGCGTTACGACCCCGAGAATCTGGGTGATCCTTGGGAGCCCAAGGTCGAGTTCCTCAGCAAGGAGGAGATCGAGAAGCGCGAAGGCGATAGAGAACGACAAATCAGACGACTCCGCCGGGAAACTGCCCGTTTCAGCTCAACGACTGGCTTGGTCGGTGGCGTGCCATTCTCTGGTTTCGGCAATGTGGTCGAGGCTGTAGAGGAAGAGCGCATGGGCAGAGGCGAGCGATCCAAGAAGAAGAGGCGATTTCGCAGTCTAAGCCCCGTCGGCCGGTCGGGCACGCCAGGCGGACGAGGCACTCCCGATGTTGGATCCGGTTATGGTGCTGGAAGCGGGTTGTCGGATCAGGAGCGGTTGTCTTGGAGATGCGCCCACTGCGCTCTCTGGGGCTCCAGTGTATGGGCAGTAAGACCTGGGCCCAATGGACCAAGGGTAAGTCTCTCAATTATCTTATTCCATCTGATGTGCCCTTGCTAACTTTGAACAGTCATTGTGCCAAAACTGTGGCCTGCTCTTTGAGCGCGACGGAAAATTGCCTCGCCAAACCAAGAACATGCACCTTACTGTCATCAGAACAGCATAATAAACAGATCGGTTACTTCTTTGAGGTGGGCTTCGAGTCGAATGGGAAAATACGGAGTTCCCGGCAGATGTCCTACGATTCTTCAGGATTTCGGGCTGTGGGCCAATGTTTTGTGTGTATAAGAGGCGAGGAGGACGGTTCTGGCAGGCGTTTCAGGGGTATTTGGGCCTCTGGCCAACAGGCAGTCAAGGAGTCCGGCTGCGAGCAGGGTTGCGAGATATTCCGTCTGCTTTTGGAGTAATACATATCGAGACACTGCCTCCTGGCAGATATGATAGTGTAGATTAGGTGTTCAAACCATTACACACTTTGGCGAGCTCTCGAAAACTCAGCGTCAGACCAAAATTCATGATAATTTTGTTGCGGCTATCGCTTTTGGTCCTACAGTTCTCGGGCATCGCATGGTGGCAGAGGAGGCACGTACAGTGCGTGTAACCGTGTCATTTCGGACCCATTGTAAAAGCGCACTGTGTCTGTCTGGGTTGTTAGCAGCGACGAGCACAGTCCCCTCATCAACACTCCCAACTTTACACGAACAACATCATCGGACCGGTCGACATGTGATGCTGCATTTTCTTCCACGGAACAGTGCCACTTTTGCGACGTTATTTCCGCTTGTCTGTTGATCACCAGCAGTCCGCGGCTCGCACTTCTAACGTTAACTTCTCTAGTTACAGCCGCCAATGCGACGTCGTGGCGAGAGGGAGCCAAATCGGGACGTGAAAACCACGGAGCCTCGACTTCGACCTCCGCAATGCGAACGCACGCTTTTCCTTTAGGGGAATGTCACCAGCGACGAATCCACCAGCACGACTTTTCCCGGGTGTTTGGGCAGACCGCCGACCCCTCTGCCCGTGACGGCTGGAGCTTTCGGGCGGTACCTGAGAGGCATTGACGCCTGGGTGCAGCCTGGCAACGCATTCTTCACATCAAGATCTGGACCGGGTGGTGGGGCCCGCTTCTCGCTTCTGCGGCGATGCCGTGAGATTCAGGAGGAGTACATGCGCAGAGTCAAGTGACACCATGTTGTTAATTGCGGTCGGGTGTATGCTCAGGCGTCGAAGACATCTGGAGGCTGACGGTCACCCAGCCGAGAAATATGGTTGAGCCCGTCCGTCGGCCCATTCTGCAAAAGCCTGCAGCTTGAGCATCGCCCGAAGCGCCAGATGCCAATCTCGGCTGGCCTTTCGAAGCAGACGAATATGAACTTTGACGCTCCTCGTTGCCGTCCAAACCGGCCCTGTCCCGCTGTTCGCGGCGCTTTGCTGTCCGCAGCTTCAGTTCGGCCCAGTATACTGCTCACGATAAGGCTTTCGCCCAGTCACAATGCCCTCTGGATGACGCGGTATGGGCTCCGTCATTCTTCGCTTAAGCGCCACGTCGATATTGCCAACCACACGCATTGTCAGCGATGGGTGCCCTCTGTCGTATCCCGCTCATTTACGGCTTCGTCGCGACACTCGCCTATCACCACGGCCGGCTGCTGCCGACGGCGGCGAGGTTTCACGTTCCTGGCTTCAATATGAAGTCGCAGACGTGTGGCGGCCACCCTTTGTTAGCGAGCTGTTCGTGCCTGGCACGACACGCGTCCAGGGAGACGGGCCCGAGATCGAGAGCAATACACCAAATGCATGCAACCTCACGATGCCAGAGCACAAGAATAACGCGCTATCGAAGCTCTGACGGCTCGCGTTCCCTTGATTCCGAATAGCT